GGATCATAAAGTTAGGGACAATTTAATGCATGTAAAGTATAAAGTAACATTTGAAGGTTATAATAAATCACAATTTAAATAAATAGCTTACTATTCAAAATTATTGATTTGTAGGAAGAAGTTTTCATGTTACTAGTAAGACAAGTAATAATATGCACGGTGTTAATTTTCAATAGATAAGTAACAGCTGTGTGAACAGTACATACACCCAACTGTTTTAATTGTAAGGCTTATATTTAAATGTCAAGAAACTTTTCCGGTGTTTAGATATTATAACTTTATTATTTTTGTTATTTCTGATTATTGCTGCTCTACAAAGACATCCACAAATAGGGATAGGATTAACAGTAGATAAAGATTTATTTTTATATAGAGAACTGATCAAAAACACTGGTTTTACATGGCTTATACTGAATATCAGTTAGGTTTTGACTAACTATAACTAAGTATCACACGACAATGTTTACTGAATTGGGCTTAGACATGCAAACCGTTGAATACCAATTCAGTTGCCTAAAGGTTCGATCCTTATACAGACGCTTGAAGGTTACCTGAAGGATTCACTTCAATTATGAGGAACCCATATTTTAAGATGAAACAGCTCTCCAATACTTTCTGATTTTAAATGTTTGTCCAACTTAGGTTAGTACATGATGAAAATGAGAAAATCTAATAATTTCCATAAACCATGATCACTGATAAATAGGTTAATGCAATTACAATTTGTAATTATTATACGGTAAGACTGACATCTACGACCTAATAAATTTCGTGCTTGCTCCTTTTCCTATTGATATAGTGAATTTAATGTAAACTTTTAATAAACAGAACCACAATTTATTAATTGTAACAGTTTTAGTTCATGTGAGTGATTTCGGTGATAATACTTTTCTCTGGTAAAAGAAATGAATTACGATTATGACAACTAAAGGTAACTATTGTGTCAGTTTTTTTAGAAACATCAAGAATTTTTAATCACAAATCTTTTCATTTTTAACGTATAAAACTATTTTGAAATGTTTAGATAATTTTCAAGGCTTTTAGTCCGAATTCTTTTTTAGAAATACCTTGTTAGTGCTGTGCACAATGTGATTGGATCGGTTTGCTAAGTTTTGTACTCATTACCATTGATTGGCTAATTAAACTAAAAATAAAAACTCAAATTTTCAATATAAATTGACGTATCAATTTACACTTTAGACATCTCATATCAGTACCTTAAACAAAATAGATTTGTATTTACAGGCCAAAGCATAAAAAGGCATATTTCACCATATCACAAACAAGTTTTTATGCTCATTGTCTACTGAATACCAATGTCAACAATGTACCATACTTTAAAGCTTTCAAAAATTGCGGTTAGGAAATTTGAAATTCCTTTGATTTCATTATGATATTATTGTTGTTCATCGATTTCACAAAAATTTCATTTTTGTCCATTGAATTATTGACAAACAGAAGTGTTTCAAAGGCTCTTTACATTTCAAATATTACACTGATGACTAACAGAAAAAATTGTTGAATGTGTTAATTGTTGTTCAATGAAACTTAGTAATGTAGTTATAAATATCCATCTACTGTGTCTATTTCTCAAGCCATGACCTTTATTATAAATCAATAGACCACTGGAAGTAAAAGAAACTAAACTATGTCTATCAAATGTGTAGTTTAGACACCATACTATATGACTAACTATTTCAGTAGGTTTGTTGACAATTTTGAAAATAAGCTGTTGTATGTTGGTTGATCCTCATTCAGTAAAAAAAACACAACAATTAATGATGTGAACCTAATGTCTATTGTTTCACTGAATGTACAGCATAAACCAAATTAAATTCCAATGAACTAATTGATAGACTTTGTCAATCACACTGTAAGCATAATTTTTAGTAAGAAATATGATTCTAACAAGAAATACCAGATAAATCTACTTAGCTTTTACTTGATGATTTCAAATAAATTGAACATTAGATGAATTGTCTATAATAGTAAAACAATATTTGTATTAACTATGGAATCGAAATCTTGATATAACTTAGCTTAATTTAAGTTGCGTTCTCAGCGAACATATAGATAATCGAATTAAAAATAATACCATATAAATTTGCATTTTTCATCTGTAGACGTGATTGAAACTAGGGAGCAAAACTTTTGTGGTTCACATTTTCATTGATTAGGATACTGCAAATATACTATTATTACTATGACTATTTTATGGCTCTGGAAGATGTTACATTAAGATTAAATAGTCATGAATTATGCAAATATAAACTAAGTAGGATATTAGAATTATTGATCAAATAAAGTAATGATAGTCGATAAAGCGGAAACGTCATGTTTATAATAATGTACAGCGTCCTGCTACTCTCTGGACTACTAGTCTCACACATCTTATCTATCAGATCATTTGTCACGCTCAAATTGGTCGTTGTTATCAGCATTCCACTGTAGCCTGATCTTTTTCTGATCAATACAACACAGCTGTTTATCTGAATTTACAAACAAAACATTTGTTTGTATTTAAGTAAAATAGCTGATGTTCATGGTAGAACTTTATCGAATGTATCAGTCAAAATTTATTGGATAAATAGTTCGTTTGTTATAGAGAATAAATTTTAACTTTTCTTAATTTTCTCAATTACAGTGTATGTTTGAATTATTGCAAAAATTAATTATCACAAAATAACATCAGAATATGATCATACTATTCAGAGTAATTAATTTCTTTAAAAAAAATTTAGTGTTTTTTTCATTTTAAAACTTAATCAAGAAAATTTATATCAATAGCATTTTATGAAGTGTTTTAAAAAAGATACTGCAGTATTTGTTTTGTACTTTTCATTTACAATTTTCTGACTGTTAACAACAAAACACAAAGACCTACCAACTATTCTTATCAATAAATTAAAATCTTGAAATTTTTTAAAAATCAGTTTTAAATGTTACATTGAATATACAATCAGATAAAACAGCACGCTTTAGATAAGGAGAAAAGCAACATTGTGTTTGCTAACCGACGAATGTGTTGAATTTCTTTATTAATTTTTAATTAAAAATAAACAATAGTCAGGCAGTAAGGCGCCATCATATCAACAATCGATATAATTGAAGGAAATGGTGTTGACTTTGCAATAAAAATCTACATTATTGCCTGCCCACTAGTGGTTAATTTCAAGGCTTCTAGCGCCAGTAAAGTTCATCGATCTCATTGCTGTTGAGGTAACCTATCGACTGTTGGTTGTGTAATATTGCAAATTCGTATCCTAAACCGTTGAATATCAACTCACTTGTCCCAAGTTCATTACTCACAGAAAGAGCTGATGGTCCTGCGTTTGATTGCTAGTGAAGTCATAGGTTCACCTTACTTATGAATCTCTTATTAATGAGAAACAACTGTTTCTCAATCTTTGACTTTTAATGGTTATTTGACTTTAATTAGTATATGACATAGGCTGCGAAATCATGACTAGCTATTGTTAGTTCTGTTTCGCAGACAGTATATTATTATAGAAAATGTTTTTTTTTACAAAATGTCTTTTTTAATAAAGTAAAATTATTAGACGTGTAAACCGTACCTAATGTATCGAATGAAAACGATTATTTAACTGCATTCATAAAAGTATTAGTAACATGAGGTTGTTGATATTATCATAAGAAACAATTAAATTATTATTTTTACGAAGAGTTTCACTACAATTCACACAATTCAGATGCCTGGAAAGTGTTCAATTATTCTATGTTTTATAGTCTTACAATATTAAAATCTCTTGAAATAATTTTTTTGACAGACTAATTTTAATCTGTAAAACTACTTAAAAATAAAACAAAAACACTAAACATCTGTTTTATTCTTGTTTCCAGTGCTTCATTCTCCATCTCTTTCCATCAGTAGTGCATCTGGGTTTACAGATTATATCAATCCATAAAAAAATAGAGAAAGAATGTTTAAAAGTTAAACAAATCACTAAAAGATTAAAATTTTAAAACAGGATGATCTATAATAAGCGTACAAACATATACAGAGAGAGAGAGAGAGAGTTGGAACTTTTGAGTTCTGGGTAAAACCAAATAATATTTATAATATTTGAATAGAGAAATGAGAAGACATATTTTGTGAGATAGTACCATTTCGTGCTTTCTCGTCAGTCACATCCATGATTCATCAACCTAGCCCATCATCTCAAAATCGATCAAGAAACCCAGCCTCGTCCATTGCAAAACATCTAATGATGAGTGGTCATCAAATTGACCCAAAATCAGCCTTTACAGTTGTGACATGTCATCAAAACCCACACACACACTGAAACTATTTGAAGCTATCTTGATCGGTCGAAAAAGTCCAACTTTATGTGTTCGAAAACAACTGTATGTTGACCCTTGTTTACCATGGTTCTAGTGAGTGAATGTCATGCTAAATAAGAAATTTTGACCTTATCTTCAAAACTATATTTATACAAATAACATGTTGCTTGTATGTGACTGACGAGAAAGCACGAAATGGTACTATCTCACAAAATATGTCTTCTCATTTCTCTATTCAAATTTATCAAAGGGAACCACTGTTTTGAATATTTATAATAATTAAAATTCATTTGATTATAGATGATCTTAGAGATAAAAATTTAGTCTTATTAATATTCAGTAGAAATTTTAATACATAAATTCAGCATTCATGAAAATAGAAACTTACATGAAATCAAACAGAGTTAATTTTTTCTGATTATTTTCGGTATTAAGAACTAATTGATGGAAATTAACATTCAATAATGTCATTGAATATATTTTCACCATACTCCCTAACAACTCTACTTATAGAAAGTTATATATGTCAAAAACATTTTCATCTACACACTTTTGATGTCAAAATTAATTATGTACCATAAAATAATATACATAACATTAATAATCATTTAGAAACTAAAACAAATCAATCTTCACACCATACAATTACAGTTCATACGTAAAATCGTTTCAATTATCAAAGAATTTATTCTACATACCTTGTTCACTGAAGACTGTAGGTAAAATAATGCTAATAATAAGTGTCAATACTACAATGTAGTGAAGTTCATGGAATTTTATTGTGGAATTTTTATTCATGATCACTGTCATTTCAATGATCTGTGGAATTGTGTTATGTAAGCATAAGTTATTGTTTTAAATAATAAAAGTAGATTTATTCATGTAAGCAATTATATTATTTATTTATATATTTCCTCTGTAATAACTTGAATTAGTGATTCACATAAGAAATGAAATACAATTTGATTTACAATAAATTACTGTTACTTTATTTTAGACCTTCATTTGATTGGATAATATGTTTATTCGAAGTCCACCAATCAGTAAGCAATATTCTACTAAGGTCATTCATTGATGATTAAAAAATTACTTACAATGTGAATTTAATTTCTTTTTATGATAAATAATAAATTAATATATAATTTCCGGTTTTAAAATCAGTTCGAAATCCCAACTATTGATAACATTAATTTGTATGTCATGTTAAAGAGATAGTTTAAACAATAATCGTATAAAATCAACAGTAATTATTGAATAATATCAAAACAAATCAGTAACAGAAATGTGGTTTATTGAAGTTATTAAATTATCATTTGTCATGATTACGTTTTGCATCAATCGCTATTTAGAAGATACCTTTTTTCTCTTAATTCTGTCATAGTTGCATTAGGGCAATTTAAGTATAAATGTCAAAAAATTTCATAATATTTTAAGAATAAAAAAAATTCTTATCATTGGTACGATTAGCGAATTGATCATTAGTGCTTGTAAACCTTTTTACTAACAAACAACGATGATGATGTTCAATAAATGAAAAAAAACATCCACTAATCTCACTTTACAAAGGGTAACTTCGTTTTTTCAGACAACAATCAATACTTTTTGTGTCCTAATTACTAGCCGACTGAATTAAACAATTCACTTGTATGAATGATGCACAAAGTAAATAGTTTATTTTCTTGCCTTGATTATTTAATTATTTATTTGTTTTTATTGATTAGTAAATATAAGTGTTTTGGCCATTATTATCATCATTAATCATATTATTATTATTAATAATATTATTATTGACTAATATCATCCAACAGACAGTAAGTATGAAATAGTTCCAATAGTTAGTATAAAAACAATCCACATGTATAAAATTTCCAAATTGATACAATCTAAGTCTGTGGAACCTTTAATAAATGTCTATTGCTTATATAATAAAATTCTTAAAGAAATCAATTATAAAATATGGTCATTATAATTGAGTTATGTGTTGTTTCGCTTTGAACACATTATTCTATGGTGTTTTTGAGTTGATATGAGCTAGAACTAAGCTTTCTAATTCACCGACACTAATCAAGATAGATTAACTGACCGATTTTATTTATTACTTTCACAAAAATTGTAAATATTATTATTATTGTTATAATTAATGTTTGCTCGATATTTTCATTAATCCATCAACCTAGATTGAAGTGACGAATGATTTACTCTTTTTAAAATGTAGTTTTCTTTACTTGTGATGACAGTTGAAGTAATTGATATTTAAGAAATGTAGTTTTTCCGATAAAAAATTGAATGGATTTTTAAACTTGGACATAACACAATATTGAAGCCTGAATGAACATATCAAGTGATTAATACTGTTATCTCTAAACAACATATTCAATAAATATAATATAACTTCAGTAATAAGTGATTTAAAAAGAATGTAAAACCATGAAGTAACTGGAAATCTTTCATTTGACTGCATTATACTAGATAAACACTAGAAAATTAAAATGAAACTTCACAACATTAGTAGAGGTTTATTCTTTACAGATGCCGATATTTAAGGATGCAGTTGAATCACTCTCTTTTCCTATATGTGCTTACCTGCATATAACATTATTTCACGAGTGATAATTTAACTGAAGTATGGCTAGTAGTGAAGTGAAGATTATTTGTATTCATGAATTCACGTTTTAGTAAGCAACAGTTTAAAATCAGGAAGCATTAAATAGTAATGCTTGCTTTAGCTTGAAGCAACTCAAATGCGTTTTTATCTACTACTACTTTGTGCAAAATGTTATTATAAATTTCTTGTGACTTCAACTTCAACGCCCAGTTTTTATATAATTCACTTGAAATCAAATTATTTGCAGTTATCAGCATCACAATATATTCTTATTGTTGGGTTTGTTTCCTGACAAGAAAAATTATATCTAATTTGCTAAATAAACAAATAAATTGAAGCATATTATTTGACGATCTGTACAGAAAACATAAATTTTGTTCCAGTACCTACTGGATTTTAAGAAAGTGATTTATTTTCACAATGAAAATCGAGGGTCGTAATTATGGGGCTGTGAAGGTTATCGAATTTTAACGATTTAAGTAAGAATACTGGTGGAAATTCAGAAGAACTGTTATCCATTCTTCTCTAGTATGGAACACATCAGCAGTGTGCATTCAGGACCTCGATTCTGACAAGTCGATCCAATAATCTTTTGTTTTGTGTGCCAACACCTAATCTATAGATCACTGAAACAGCATCCAACACTTAAGATTATCAGTGAATAATAAAATCTAAAAAAATAATTGAATGATGAACTAAATATATTTAGCATTTCATTTGTACTACTGAACTTGTGGAGCAGTAAAACTAGTCGCTCATCACTAAATTTTGTAGTTATAATACTGAAGGTAAAACAGGTTTATTGACTACATTTTAATTTTAATGAACAATAGTACGAATATTGAGTTTCATTGGTGTATCAAATATATCATATCATATATATATATATATATATCATACATACTCAGTTCGAGATCGAGTAAAGGTTATTCAGTCTAAAAACGGTAGAAAAAAACATCGATAAATGTTTCCAGAGTTTAATAGTGTTCAACTAATTTGATTATAACTGCATTGACAGTAATGACCGCTAGATTCAATATTATAACTCTTTCTAGAGTCGATCTCGCGTTACAGCCAGTTCCTAACCTGGAAAAATGATGACGGTTAGTCACGGTGTTTGCAACCCGGGAAAACAACATTGCTAAAAAAGTGCTAACCACAGAAAATAATTCAAACCATGTAAGCGCTGCACTGGGAGTTGGAAGATATTCATTTAGGAGAGTTATAAATCCTCATGGTGAAATCTGAGTTTCTTTGGAAGTCATAAATAGAGCAACAATCAATATAGATATATGGAATGTCTACTTTATGCGTACAGAAGAACCAATAAAGTTACTATGCAATTGAAAAGATACAACTTGATGATAATTCGAACAAGTGAAATTCATTGGAAATAGGTTGGACTAAAGAGACCAGTTTCAAGACAGATGATGTTATTCTCTGATCATGATGAAGAAAATGCCCCACACACACAAGCAGCTGTACTAATGCTGTCACAACAAGCACAAGACAATAAAAAGGGGAATACAATGAAGGTCATTCAGTGCTATGCGTCTACCAACGATAACAATCAGGAGCATAAAGATCAATTCAATGATAAGCTGCAGTTAATCGTCGAGAAATGCCCAAAGAAGGACTTGACCATTCTGTGGGACACCTAAACGCCAAGGTTGGGAGGGACACAAAGACATCATTGGACAAAATTGACTGGGAGAAAGGACCAAAAATGGTGGGCGATTCACAAATCCCTGTGCGTTCAACAAACTAGGTATAGGCGGCACATTCCACCTGACCACACTACATGGAACTAAGTTGATCCCATCTGCATCAATAAAAAGTTCAGAAGGAAGATGGATAACGTAAGAATAAGGAAAGGAGTTGATAGAGCTTCTCATCACCACCTGGTAATGGTCAGAAAATGAAGCCGAAGTTAAAGAAGTACTGAAAACGTGAGAATGCATCATTACAAAAGTTCAATACGACCTGTCTTCCGGAATTCAAGATAATTCTCAGAAATAAGTTCCAAGCCTTGCAGTATCTACTAAATCAGTAGGAAAATACCACGAAGAACAAATCGAAAGGGATAAAAGAGACATTAGTTTCAACATGTCATGAGGTTCTGGGTCAGAAGAAGTACCATCACAAGGAACGGATCTCTGTCAAAAACCTGGATAAGATGGAAGATACCAAGAATAGGGAAACAGTGATTTATAACAGTCGAACAAGAGCGGTAAAAGCCAAGGTACAATTTGAATACTTAGTAGCAAACAAGCAAGTGAAGAGGAACATCATGACTGATAAGCAAAAATACGTGGAAGAAAAAGCTTAAAGAGAAGGAAATGTGGGACTACTAGTCAATATAATGAAGAATTTGGCTGGAAAATTTAGTGAACAAGAACGACCAGTGAAGAACAAGTAAGACAAAGTAGTATCTGACATTCGAGATAATCGAAACATTAGGATGGACCACTGTGAAGAAATCTTTAGTAGGCCAGCCCATCTGAACTGTGAGCATAATGAACGTAAAATGCTAAATGAACTGAAAATTTTTTAAAATCTATGAAATAAGAATAGATTCAGACTTCTACTGAAAATTACTTAAATTTATAAAAATATAAATTGTGATATTATAAAATGATTTATCAAAAAAATTGGTTTTGTACACATGGATTTTTGCAATATCTGCAGTATGGACTTCATTAAAGCTTAGATCTGTAGTGATATTCGACTTTATCCTGTATCGATACTGAATCTAACGTTGAAAGCTAAATGTTTAGAGTTTGGAAAATACTCGATTTACCATGTCGTATTTTGAAACCATGCTTTATAGTATAATAATTCCAATGCCTTGATAGAAAATGCCGTGATAATTGGTTACATAAAAGCAAATACACAACACAAGTATGCATATTGAGTTAACCGACTGTAGTAACGTATTTTTTCATGTGGCGCCCTATAGACAGGTGGGGACAGTTGGTTATCCAAATATCCGTTTATTATTTAGAAGTTGAGGACGAACTATATGGAAGGATACCTAAATTGCACAATCCAATTATATATATATATATATATATATATACATATATATATGTATATATATATATATACATATATATATATATATGTATATATATATGTATATATATATATACATATATATATATGTATATATATATATATACATATATATATATATGTATATATA